CATTAGTCCCTGTAAGAAAAAACAATCATATATTAACATTGGCATACCTTTCTATGGTTTATCAGGATATTTGGCATAAAATTTCTTAAGCAGTTCAGGAGCCCTAATGTCTTTCTCATTAACCCATTCAGCATAGGATGGAGGAAAATGTTTCCACGCTACAAGATATTGGACACGACCCCTCCATTTCCTAGAGTCTAGAATTTCTTTAATCTCGAAATGTTGTTCCCCCTCGATCAACAGTGGTACGGGGGGATCAGACTGGGTCGGTCTCAAGGTACTGGTATGTTCGGGTTTCAACAAACTGACGTGGAAAACTGGATGAATACGACGAAGAGTCTTTGGTAAAGTCAGTTGGACAGTCACCGGATTTACAATCCTCTCAATGGGAAAAGGCCCCACATACTTAGGACCCAACTTCTTCGATTTCTGGGCAATAAAGAGTTGAAATATTTGATTGTACATGTTTTAACAGCGGCCAGAATTGTATTTGCGCATAATTAGAAAAATGACAAAATACCTGTGCAGGAGGAAATTATTAAAAAAATTATGGACTGTGCTGAAATGAGTACAGTCTGACAGAGGAGCTCCAAGGAGGACCAGCAGGCCAAAGCTGGCGGTCTTGGTCCTGTATTTTAATGGAGGAGTGGGGGGGGGCAGGGAGGATGGAGATTGAGAAAGAAAAGGATAAGGGAAATGAAGGGAAGATGCAAGGAGAAGGGAAAGGAGGAAGAGGAGGGGAGAAGGGGAAGGAGTGGGAGGGAGGGAGGAGGAAGATAAATGGAGGGGAAGAAATTGAGGAGAAATGAAGGAGGAGGAGAAATGGAGGAGAAGGAGAGAAGGGGAAGGAGAAGGGGAAGAAATGGAGGAGAAATGAAGGAGGAGAAGAAATGGAGGAGAAGGAGAGAAGGGGAAGGAGAAGGGGAAGAAATGGAGGAGAAATGAAGGAGGAGAAGGAGAGAAGGGGAAGGGGAAGAAATGGAGGAGGAAGAGGAGAGGGAAGGGAAGGAGGAGAAGGGGAAGGGAAGGAGTGGTAGAGAGGAGAAGGAAGAGGGGAGGGGGACAAGGAGAAGGAAAAGAAAAAGAAAGAGGAGGAAGAGATAGGGAAGAAGAAAGTGAAGGAGGAGAAGATAGAAGGTGAAGAGAGAAGAAGAAAGAAAAAGGAAGATGAAGATGAAGAGAAGGGGGAGGGGATAAGGAGGAGGTAAGGAGAAGAAGGAAGAGAAGGATCAGAAAAAGGAGAAGAAAGAGAAGGGGAAGGAGGAGGAGAGAAGGGGAAGGGCAAGGAGTGATAGGGAGGAGGAAAAGAAATGGAGGAGGAGGAAAAATGGGGAAGGAGAAGGAAGAGAAGAGAAAGGAAAGGAGAAGGGGGAGAAGTGGTAGAGAGGGAGGAGGAGGAGAAATGGAAGAGGACAAAGAGGAGGAGGAGGACAAGGAGGAGGAGAGGAGGAGGAGGAAGAGATAGGGAAGGAGAAGAAAGAGAAGGGGGACAAGAAGAAGGAGAAGATAGAGAACAGGTGAAGAGAGAAGAAGAAAGAGAAGGGGCGAGGAGAGGGAGAGAGAAGGAAAAGGAGAAGAAGGAAGAGAAGGATCCAGAGAACGAGGAAGAAGAAAGAGAAGGAGAAGGAAGGGATGAGGACGAGAAAGAAGAAGAGAAACAGGAGGAAGAAGATAAAAGATTGATCGTTGGAAGAGCCCTACAGAAACAGGAGAATAAAACTGGTTCCTTGGTTCCATATCATTGCAGCAGAAGCAGGAAGGAGGAGGAGAAAGAGCAGATTTTATAGAGGTGCAAAAGTCCACGTAGAAAAAAGAACAATTCTAGCCGGACTACCTGATCTTTTACGGGAGTAACGTAACCCTTCGTACGCCAGTCCACCTGCTTGGGTGTCTCCGCCGTGGCTGATTCTTGGAAGTCAACCTCACCCTCTTCGTACTGTTCGGCTTCACGGGGCTGGAAACCGTTCAACATCTGGTTAAACTCCTCATCTGTCTGGAGAAGAAATCAGGAATTTTGTTTCTCCCGCTTGTAAACCTTAATACTTTTCAGCAGGACAGCAGAGAAGCCGTGGGAGAAACTGAGGCAGAGAAGCGTGCGGATGGAAATTGGAGCTGCCTTGGTAAGGTTGTCAACGAAGGGAGGCCAATGTGTAGCCCTCCAGCCTAGAGCGCTGTTTCTCAAGGTTGGCAACTTCAAGTCCCAGAATTCCCCAGACAGCATTGGGGGACTTCAATTCCCAGAATTCTCCACTCAACATCTGTGAACTTCAATTCCCAGAATTCCCAAACCGGCATCTGTACACTTCAATTCCCAGAATTCCCTCACCAGCATGTGTAGACTTGTACTCCCAGAATTCCCTAGCTGGCATTTGTGGACTTCAACTCCCAGAATTCCCCAGCCTGCAAGCACCACTATGAATTCTACCTCTAACTTTACTCTAAGATTACACTGACAATCAATCAATGTGCAGATAATTCTTGACTTACAATCATCCACTTAATGACCGTTTGAAGTTACAACAGCGCTGACAAAAGTGACTTTCATTTTTACACTTACGACCGCTGTAGCATCCTCAGGGTCACATGATCAAAATTTGGGTGCTGGGCAATTGGCTCCTATTTATGACGGTCGCGGTGTGTCCCGGGGTCACTTGATCCCCTTTTGCGACCTTCTGACAAGCAAAATCAAAGGGGAATCCAGATTCGCTGAACAACCGGGTTACTGGTTTTAACAACTGCAGGGATTCACTTAACAACGGTGGCACAAAAGGTCGTAACTCACTGAGCACCTATCTCACTTAGCCGCAGAAATTTGGGACTCCATTTTGATCGTAAGGCGAGGACTACCTTGACTTTGGCTGTCCAATGAGAAGAGAGGACTTGTTAGAAAAGAATCCGATGTCAGGACGGACGGAAGGGAAAAGGAGAAGGAGATGCCCAGGGGTGGGATTCTACCGGTTGGGACCGGTTTGGGTGAACCCGTTGCTCCAAAGATTAGCTGGCACCGAACCGGTTGGCTGCGACGAGCATTTGGGCCTGCGCACCCACCCACCACTGCTCTTTCCTGTGCTTTATTTCCTCCGTGCCTCAGCTGTTTTATTCACAGGGACTGCTGTAGAAGGTCAGTATTAGAGCTTTTCTAAACGCAGAGGGCGCGCGCGATCACTGAACCGATTGTTATACCGGTGGAATCCCACCCCTGGGGACGCCATAAAACAGCGACGGCAAATCTTTTTGTGGTGGTGTGCCAAAAGTGTGTGTGCGTGCTGGCACCCACCATAAAATGCACCCCAACCTCCCTGTGCATGTGCGCGCAACACCCCCGCCCCCCTTACCTGCACTATGCATGCATGAGCCTCCCAGCTGATTTGAGGCCGATTTGAGGCCGTTTTCGCTGTCTCAGAGGCCCGAGGAAAGCCTCTGCAGCCTCGGGAGGCCGAAAAACGGGCCTTCCGGAAATACAAGGAGAGTTTGTTTTCAGCCTCCAGAGGGTCTCTGGAGCTTGGGGGAGGCTGTTTTCGCCCTCCCAGAAGCTTGAGGGAAGCCTCGGGAGCCTCGGGAGGCCGAAAAACGGGCCTTCCGGAAATACAAGGAGAGTCTGTTTTCAGCCTCCAGAGGGTCTCTGGAGCTTGGGAGGGGGCTGTTTTTGCCCTCCCAGAAGCTTGAGGAAAGCATCTGGAGCCTCGGGAGGCTGAAAATGGGCCCGTTTCGGCACTTCTGTTATTTCCGGAAGGCCCGTTTTTCGGCCTCCTGAGGCTGTAGCGGCTTCCCTCGAGCCTCTGGGACAGCGAAAATGGCCTCAAATGGGCTGAAAATCAGCTGGGAGGCTCATGCACATATGCAGTGCAGGTAAGTTTGGTTGGGGCTCACATGCCTGTTAGGGATAACATTGTTTACCCTAACTGGTTTGGGTAAAAATAATAAATATGGTATCATGGTTTGTTAGTTAAAGTGTGTGTAACTTTAACAGCAAGAATGTAATTAAGGGTGTGGTTGTAAAAGCACTATATAAGAAGCGAGGCAATTGCAGCTCTCTCTCTCTGGCTTGAAGATCCCTAATTACTGGATGGATTGATGACTGCGTTCTTGCTGAAACGGGGAGAGAAAAAGGAGTGTTGATATTTCTCAACGGAGAGAAGATAAAGATTGGACTGATTTATTGTAAGTGAGCTGACATTGGCTATTCAACACGGACTTTGCAAATAGAGTATCCCTGACAAGACTTGACTGAAATTGATATATGACTAATGGACCGTTTATTTTGACTATGCTATAATTCTTAAATGGAATAAACTATATTTTTGATAGCACAAGCGTATCTGTATTTTTACTGCGTGTTAACTAGAAAACTTATCTCACACATTTACCTGTCTCCCTATCTGACTTCGCTGCACGTTCTGTTTAGTTTGTTTTCCTTAACACCCGTTGGGGAATCCAGGCTTAACAATGCCCACACAAATGGCTCTGCATGCCACCTTTAGCACACGTGCCATAGGTTCGCCATCATGGCCATAGGATTGAGATGGCTAGATAGCGTCATCAACACAACGAACATGAATTTGGCCAACTCTGGGAGACAATGGAGGGCCCAAAGACTTGGCGTGCGGCGGTCCGTGGGGGGTCGCAAAGATCAGACACAAACTTAGCAACTGAACAACCACAACCACAACCACAACAACCCCTTCTAGAGTTTGCCTGGTTACCAGATCACCCAAGTGGTTCATGGCCAGTTGGAAGCTGTGTTTGCCCCGAGCGGCTTCCAAATTGTGCCGTTCAATTCTCCACAGGTTCTTCTCCCAGACCATCCGACGGAAAGCTTCTTCCTCCTGTAACGACACAAAGGGCCCGTCACAAATTGAGACACAGAAACGCTTCTCTCCCGAACCCCAAGGAACCCTCCCCCCCAAAAAAATTTAAAGAACATTTTAATTTAAGGCCACTTTCAAGGAGACACAGTGATCCATCAGCTGTCAACTCATAAAACATTTCTATGCCTGTTTGACAGTTGCCATGAGGGGAGGGGGAGAAATCTGAAGGGGCAGTGCGGCTGTTTAAAACCGAAAGTGCATTCCATTCTTATCTTGCCAAGATTGTAACTAAGCTACTGGAATTTCTGCCTCGAAAATCCCTAATTGGAGAATGTGATTGATGACTCTCAGCTATGAACATGTTTTTGTTGGAGAATATGAATTATGATACACCCAGACAGGTGGGAGGAAACAGGGTCATAGATGATGGTGAACTATGTGTCTCAGAATCGGCTTCGTACAGGTCATGCAGACATGTTCGTTCCTGTTATGCCCTTGTTGGAGTTGGACCCTGAGGGAGAGGAGGAACAGCCAACAGGAAGTGGAGGTGTGGCTACGGAGGTTGTGGAGGAGGCTGGGGAAGGGCAGAGGCGGCTGGACAGTCAGAGGAAGAACCAGGCCCATCCCCTCTGCATCCTAGAACAGGCAGGGAGGAACGGAGAAGGGAACAACTTGGCTTACGAGAGAGGAAGCGGTCATGATCCTCCTCATTGGTTCCAGCTGGGGAGACGAGTATATAAGAGAGACGATTACAACACAGCGTTGCCAGAAGCAAAGCGTGTTTTATTTTGGGCTGAAGTTATCTTGGTTGGCGTCCTTCCAACAGACTGTGCCTTGTTATCTCCTTGAAGTCGGTAATTACTTATCCTGGTCAGTTGTGGAAATTCCTTCATTGTAGTTTGTTTTTGTTTTTTATTTCATCTCTATCTGCTCAGTAAGTTCGGACTGTACTGCTTTCTTTTGAAGACTATTTTTGAATACGTTTTATCTCCAACAGAGAATTATTGAACAGTGGGGCCATATTGGAGGCATTAAAGGACATTTATTTACGTTTTGGATTTTGTTACGTTTGTGTTACACTCTGGGTCATCACAGCTCCTAATAAATCCGTTGAAGTTTTTGAAGCTTGGCTCGAGGCTCATGATAATTGGGGCAACTGCCAGAATCCTGACACTAGCCTGATAAAAGAAGCAGCAACAAAGAGAGAGATTTCGAGGTAGGTAGTCCTCGACTTACGACCACAATGGAGCCCCACAGTTTGGTTGCTAAGCGAAACAGTTGTGAAGTGGGTCTTTTGCCCCGTTTCACAGCCTTTCTTGCCATAGTTGTTAAGTGAATCAAGGCAGTGGTTAAGTGAATCTGGTTTCTTCCCCATTGACTTTGCTGGGCGGAAGGTCACAAAAAAGGGATCACATGACCCCGGGGACACGGCAAACGTCATAAATGTGAGCCGGTTGCCAAGCGTCTGAATTGTGATCCTGTGACCAGGGGCTGCAACGGTCGTTAAGTGTGAAAAGTTGAAGTCCAAACTATCTTAAAGCATGCTAACTGGGGAATTCTGGGAGTTGGAGTCCACCCATCTTAAAGCTGCCAAAGTTGAAAACCATTGATGTAACCGTACAAGACCGTAGACTTAGGTCTTCTGGACACACTTCCCACCTGGGCTACCTCAAAGGCTGGCACAAACTCACCTCCAGGTAGCCCTTAGCGTGCGTTTCTTTCCATCCCTTCCATGTTCCTTCCAGGGCCAGATTCACGGGGCTGCAGGACACCTTCAGGAAGACTAGGGTCGCCACGACGAGGCGAAAAAGCAACAACATGTCCTCCGTCTTGGTGGAAAGGAAGATATTCAGAGGGTTAAGGATGCTCAAAGTTGGAGACCTTGTGTCCCCCAGTGAATTTATTTACCCCTCAACCGCTGTTTCCCTCCTAAATAGAAACTCTGCCTTTGTACCAATGAAAATGGGAGGCAGAGGCCGGCGGGTGGGGGGGCCAACGGGTGGGCGGGGCTTCGGCAACATTCGCTGTATAAGATGCACAGGCATTTGCACCCACTTTTGGGGGTGGTGGAAAAAGTGCGTCTTATACTCTGAAAAATACGGCATCTTTGTCTCTCTTGTTAGATTTCTCATCCAATATGATTGTACAGTTGGAAAATGAGGGTGCTAAATGGATCAGGGGTCGCCAAACTTTTGGACCTCAGGGACCCCCAAACTCATAATTTTAAATCCCGCCAGACCAGAGACCCTGGGAAAATCCTAAAAAAAAGTCTGCAGGAAAATTCCCCACCCCGTTTTCCTACCGATTGATCATTCTTTATTTGGGATTGCAGGATACTGTCTCCAGCTCCATTCTCAGGGGGAGAGAGAGAGGGAGAGAGACTTTTGGCTTCATGCAAGGAAAGCAGCAGAAGCAACAGAAGTCTTTCTTTGTCTCCTCCAAACTCTGCCAGAAATGAGTCTTTGTGAGACTTGTCGCATTGGCTCAGCCTCTTGGAGCAGGAGGCCTTGCAGGTCCCAAAGACTCATTTCTGGTGGAGTTTGGGGGAAAGAAAGAAAGACTTTTGCTGCTTTCCTTGCGTGCAGCCAAAAGCAGAAGAAGAAAGAAGCGGAAAGAAACAGACCGGTGGCCAGGCCAGGTGTGTGGGGTGAGTGGGGCAAGTTCCCCCCCTCCACCTTTCCCCCCCCCCCCCCCCCCTACCTGGTGTTGCTTGCAATGCAAGCGACGCAAGCCTTGTGTTCCCACACAGCCTGGATTCATTGCTTTTGGGGGTGACATTTCTCTGCGGACCACCAATATTTTCTCGCGGACCACCTGGGTGCGCAACCACTGAAATGGACCACTGCAGTTGTTAAGTTAGTAACATGGTTGTTAAATGAGCCAAGGTCACAAAAAGGGGAAGCTTTTTTTTTTTTTGCTTTTTATGAGCCTGTAATAGAAATAGCCTTTAGACTTATATACCGCTTTACAGTGCTTTTGCAGCCCTCTCTAAGCGGTTTGCAGAGTCAGCCTCTTGCCCCCAACAATCTGGGTCCTCATTTTACCCACCTCGGAAGGACGGAAGGCTGAGCCAACCTTGAGCCTGGTGGGATTTGAACTGCCAAAGTGCTGGCATCCGGCAGTCGCAGGAGTAGCCTGCACGTTGTTCTGTCCTAGCCTTCCCCAAAAAGCAAGAAGCCAACTCTGGGTCCCAGCAAAACTTCTTTTATTAAATGAATGCGAATTTAATTCATTAGCATTCAGCCAACAGCTTGGCAAACGGTCTTGCAAAGGTATGCTAATTAGCTCAGACCTTATCTAACCTGGAAAGTGGCCCGGTAAATATTTCCACACCCAGTGCTGACAGGGAAGGGCTGGGTTACACAGACAAATCTTCATGAGGCTGGAACAAAACGAACGAACGAACAAGCAGGTTGTTTCCTTCAAAAGCTTCCTCCCCTGTTGCTCCTCTTTGAATCCTGATGGAAGGGGCCATTCATCGTCCACTGGGGGCCTTACTCCCACGTGGACCCCGAGTTCTTAATTTTTTCCTTCCTTTTGGCAGCTCTGGGGTGTGGTGCAGGCTGGGAACCAGTTCCAGAAGCTCCCCCCGACTCACTGCTATCCAAGGCCAAAGGACTGGCCCAGGTTCCTCCCTACCCTCCTCTCTCTGTTGGACTCCGCTGCCAGCTCCGTCTCAGCCGCCAGCGGGTCCACAACACTGCATTCTAACCCACTGCACCACCACCACGGCTCCCTTAGCTTCGGGGTGCGGCCGGGGCAATTGAGCATTTACTGGCCGGATGCCCTTCCTGACATCTACATGGAGTTAGCAGCAGATATTTTTTATTTTATGCCCCCGGAAACTATGCTCCCAAGAATCAAACCCTCAACCTGTTGAGTGGGAGGCAAGAGGTTTTTGCCTCTAGGCCACCGCACCAGTCTAATGCCCCCTTACAATAAAGTAGAATCGATTCATCGGTCTGTGCTTCCTGTCTGGGCCATTGCAAGGTTAGCAAGCCAAATTCTGCCTCCCTTCCCATTGCAGGCTGTTTCTGTGGTTCTGCTCCCTTAAACACACACAAGCACACGCACACGCACACACACACACACACACACACACACACACACACACACAAATGTGAGTGCACCCGTGTGTGCACAGAGTAAGCCAGCCTTGCTTCATCGAGATTACAGCATTTTTGGGAGAACTAGAAGAAGCGTTTCTGCCAAACATCCCGTTTCCAAAGGTTTAAAAAAAATGCAGGGTTGTTGATTGAGGGGTGGGTGGCAGAATTAGGATTTAAGGTGCAGGAATGTTTTTCCCAACCCTTCCCCCCATCCCCCCCCCTTCCCCAAGGGGTCTTCATGCTGTGCCCAATGCTACTTTTTCAATGTTTGGGATAATGACAACTTCCTGATTTTTGGAGCTAAGATTAGAACGAGCAACCACATCTTAGGCGATTAATCGATTCTGGGTCTTGTTTTTTGGAGTCCATTTCTGACTTCTGCAAAGTGTGTTCTTCTCATGTAACAGATAATCAGAGTTGGAAGGGACCTTGTAGGTCATCTAGTCCAACCCCCACCCACCCAAACGGAAGACCCTACACCATTTTTGACAGGTGGGAGTCCAATCTCTTCTTGAAAGCCTCCAGGGATGGCGCTCCCACAACTTCCGAGGGCAACTTCTGTTCCATGGGTTGATTGTTCTCCCTGTCAGAAAGTTTCTCCTTATTTCTAGGTTGAATCTCTCCTTGTTCAGTTTCCATCCATTGTTCCTTGTCTGGCCTTCGGATGCCTTGGAAAATAGCTTGATCCCTTCCTCTCTGTGGAAGCCCCTCAAATATTGGAAGATGCTATCCTGTCTCCCCTGGTCTTTCTCTTCACGAGACGAGCCAGGCCCAGTTCCTGCAACCGTTCTTCCTATGCTTATGTTATGTATGAAGTCCACAAGTCTTAAAGTTGCCAAGTTTGGGGACCTCTGTTCCTGGAGTCTCAACATCTTCTTTACATCGTGGTGACCAAAACTGGATGAAATATTCCAGGTGTGACCTTACCAAGGCCTTATAAAGTGGTACTAGCGGTTCATATGCTCTTGATTCTATCCCTTGGTTAATGCACCCTACGACCTTGTTGGCTTTTTTTGACAGGTGCAGCTGCCCCCCCAAAAAATGATGTCATAATTCCCAAAATGTCTATCATTCCCACCAACAACAATCTACTCAGCTGCCTCTCCTTGGGTGTTTATTGACTACACAAAAGGTGTGTGTGTGTGAGAGAGAGAGAGGGGGGGGAGAGAGGGAGAGGAAGAGAGAGAGAGGAAGGGGGAGAGAGAGAGGGAGAGAGAGAGAGGGAGAGAGAGGGGGGAGAGAGAGGGGGAGAGGGAGAGAGGGAGGGAGAGGAAGAGAGAGAGGGG